GCTGCGGGCGGTTCCATAATCGCTGGTTGGTTCCAAGACCGCTTCGGTCGGCGGGCAACGTTCTTCCTCGGGGGCATCTTGGGACTAGCTGGGACAGCTGCAGCTTTCACGTCCGGCATGCCATCCGGGACAACTGACAGAAGGGTCTTGTTCCTATTCGCCAAGATCATTATTGGAATGGGTTGTGGCGTTCTCATGTCTGCTTGTCAGACATACATCTCTGAGATTGCACCCAAGAATCTTCGCGGTGTTGTCCTGGGTTTTTATGCCTTCAACGTTGTGAGTAGACGCGTCTCCGAGATGATTTCGTAAAGCGAGATGCTAACGGGTTTGTCCAACAGTCTTTTGGGCACCTCCTCGCAATCACGATCGTTTACAACGAAGTCGGCAACCTGAGTTCTGAGTCTTATCAGATACCATTCGCTACGCAATGGGCATTCGGCGGAGTAGCCGTCATCGCCGCTCTGTTGCTGCCGGAAAGCCCAGTCTGGCTGATTTCCAAGGACCACATAGAGAAAGCAGAAAAGTCATTGCAAAAGCTTGGAACCGGCGGCGGCCAGAATATGCTCCAGAGAATTCAGGCCACACTAGCGCACGAGGACGATGACACGGCCCGGTGCAGAGGTCCCCCAACTTATCGTGAATGCTTCCAGGGCGTCAATCTGCGTCGTACGCGTATCATAATCTTCCTCAACATCCTTCAGCAGTTCGTCGGCATGGCGCTGTTGCAGAACGGGGCCTATTTCCTTACCATGGCCGGCATGTCCGCCAAGTACTCACTCATGGTCAACCTCATCGGCGTCGCCTCGAATATGGTTGCGAACATGATCTCGTGGTACACAGTGCCGAGGTTTGGCAGAAGAACAATGATTCTCATCAGCATCGTTCTCGATATCTTTTCTTGGGCTGCTATGGGCATCGCCGCCTGTTTCAACACCCCCGCGGCTGGATGGTGAGTTTTGAAGGATGTTCTCTTGACGTTAACTCAATACTAATACCATTTGCAGGTTCGTTGGAGTCGCCCTTCTTCTTTTCGGGTTCTTCAACAGCTTCGGTGTGGCCAGCGCGGTTCCGGTCATCGCTTCCGAGGTCTCCTGCGTCCGGCTGCGGTCCAAGTCAGCCGGCATTGGCCTCGCTGCCCAATCTATCGCAGCCTGGATCTTCAGCTTCTTTACGCCCTATCTTTACAACCCCGACGAGGCGAATTGGGGAGGTAAGATTGGGTTCTTCTTCGCGGGTACCAGCATCTTGGTTCTCTTTGTTTCATGGCTAGAGATTCCTGAGACCAAGGGAAGGACCCACGCCGATCTTGACTTTCTCTTTGAATCAAGGATCAAGTCTTCTGCTTTTGCAAAGACTGTTGTACCGCAGGTTCAGAACGCTGAAGATGACTTGAAGGGACTGGGCGGCGAGAAGTTTTAACTCGCTGATGATCATCGGTTGTTGCTGTGCCGGTGGAAGTGCTTGTGGAATCATTACTCCCAAATCCGAGCAATCGTATTCATTGATCTATCAGCACTTGTCTCCGAAACGTGATCATAATGACTATGTATCTAGGTTCTTGAATGATTCGGTTGAGACCATGCATCGTGAACGGCCATGGTGAAGACTTTAACCATTTTCCAGTGCACATCCGCCAGCAGGAAGCAATCGAGATTGCAGAAGGGGTCGAGTCCTCGATTCGAAATACAGCGGAGCGAAGGCCCCTGTGGTGTCCACCTGTCAGGAGTTTGGTGACGAATTACTCGCGTTCTTTGGTCAGAAACAGTCACATCCACATTCACTACCGACGTCTGCGGCCCGCACCCTAGGGTTCAAACTTGCCACACAGCCGCCCAAATGGATCCTGAAGATTGATAAAGCGGTTCCTGTCACTGCGACGTCAACGACCTGTCCAGCTCATTCCGAGCTCATCCCCGATGGCACAATTGGCTAGCGCGTCAGACTGTTAATCTGGAGGTTGGTGGTTCGAGCCCACCTCGGGGAGAAAAAGTGGTTAAAATCCACTATGGGTTCTATCTTTTTATGTTTTTGTTTATTTCATCTGATGTCGCTTGCCGCAAGCTGTGCACCGTGACTCGTCTCATTTTTTGCCGCAATTCAAATCTGCCGTGGCCCCTGCTAGCCAGCCCAAGACTAACCAAATATGAACAAATGTCTCCGGCGTCTCACTCCATGTTGCCGATCGCTTAACATCGTGTCTATCTGCGGATCTCACTTAGCTCAAGATCCCAGAGATGACATCGCGTGAGGCCTGCATAAGCGTCCGGTTTTGCATCGCGAATGCATCTCAAACTGGATACGCATCAACGTCGTCGCCACGTTTCTTTGGCGCTGGGCTGACCGCTTGTTTGCTTTTTTATCGCCTGGCATCTCACAAAAAGCAAGGGCCTTCAGCCGGGAGTGGACTAGGTGACATCAGGCACATGGGGCCTGGGCCTCTTGACGAAACCGCGATAATCACTGTCAGCCACCACAGTGGCAGAGACACAAATCCGGTCGGAACAAACCCACCCCATTCATCGCGCTTCAAAGAACTGACTAGTTACGCATTTCCACTGACTCTGATTGGCCCGTTCCCAATCTAACAGGATGAACCAGGAAGAGTCCAGTGTTCAGCCGCTTTCCCGTACAAACGGAACCGAGACCAAACATCAGTCCGGCGGACGCCCGCTCATGGCAGAGGGAACACACAATCTGGAACCTCCCGTTTCGGTCGATATCATTCGTCCACTCTTGGAGAGTTTTCTCCCCCGTGAATATGGCACAATAAAGCCTGGTAGAGACAGGCGGGGCCTCGCGGGGGCCACACGGCTCACATACGGGGGTCATCCCTACTCACATCAATTTTCTGCGACGAGTGAATTGCCGCGTCTGGTAAGACGTTCGTGTCCCACTCTGCTCCCGTGGCGGCGTCACCAAACTCTTGTGGGTTTCTGCCGGTTGCCCGCCCGCGGAGAGCCTGACGAGCTGCGAACTGCCCCATGCTTCTCCCACCGGACCCTTAAACTTCATCTAGAAAACGGACGAATGGTCCAGCCCGATGCTCCGTTTGGATGTCCGACTACCCTCCAAACCCTCACGCGTGTTTGGTGATTTAAAAAGCGCCGTGCCGCTCGCTGGCAGAGTTCGAAACCCTCTTTGACGTCACGCGTCGCGGGAATTTCGACCTCTCACAGACATCACGATGCCAGGCATCAGCGTGCCTTCCGGCTCAACCGACGCGAGTCTTTTCGCAAAACCATATGCCCTTCTTTCTATCGCAGCCGTAGTGCTCCTCTACGCCTTTTACCGATGGGCCCTACCGAAGCCGATATCTAATATCCCGCACAATGTGAGCGCCACAAAGAGCGTTCTGGGAGACATCCCGTCCCTGATGGAAGGCATCAAGCGCACCGGAGAGTTCAACCTCTGGCTGCAGGAACAGGCGGCAAAATTCGGCTCGCCTCTCTTCCAGGTCTTCATCCGTCCTCTTGACCGGCCCACGTTAATCCTGTGCGACTTCCGAGAGGCGCAGGATATCCTCATGCGGCGCAAGGAATTCGACAGATCGCGCGCGACGGCCGATCTCTTGGAGAGCAGCGCGCCAAACCACCACATCCACCTGAAGACGGATAGCGAGTGGAAGCGGCACCGAAGGCTTTTGCAGGACCTCATGTCCCCGGGTTTCCTCAACGAGGTCGCTGGCCCTGCTGTGTACGCGGGCGTTCAGAGACTCATCGACCTCTGGAACGACAAGACTCGGATGGCTGACGGACGGCCCTTCCCCGCTGAGCTAGACATCTACTATGGAGCCCTGGACGCCGTGAATGCCTTCACATTTGGAGGCAACTTCCCTATCAGCGCCATCCGACCCTCGCTGGAAGCTGTGGAGAGTCTCAAGCCCGAAGATGTTGAGCGGCTTCGAAACGCTTCCACCTCGGGCAACAAGCCCATGGACTTCCCTTACGGGGACTGCGACGAGAAGATTACGGGAACTTTGGATTTGGCCGGCGCTATCGAGCATCTGTTGGGATCACCGATTCCCAGGATCAAGTGGTGGTTTGTCAAGAGGAGACCTGAGATTGTCAAGGGTATGGCTATCAAGCAGGCGTACGTCAAAGAGGAGATTGCCAAAGCGCTGCAACGCCTCAAGGAGAGTGGCAACGTGGAGGAGACGAAAGTCCTGTCCGCCGTTGAGCTGGTTGTGCTCAGAGAAAAGAAGATGGCAGAGAACGAGGGCAGACAGCCCGACTACTTCAGCCCTATAATGATTGATGAGGTGAGCACTCCCTTCTTCCACCACGACTACGTTCACTTGCTAACCTCTCCCAGGTCTTCGGTGTAGTTATCGCAGGTCATGATACAACTAGCACCACCATGTGCTGGGGCGTCAAGCTCCTAGCAGACAACCCCGACAGGCAGACGAAGCTGCGCGATGCTCTCCGGGCCGGCTTCCCCGACGCCGCAGCTGAGGGCCGCAGCCCCAGCATCAAGGAGATCACGAACACCAAGATCCACTACCTGGACGCCACAATGGAAGAGATTCTCCGCTGCGGCGGCGCCGCCCCGCTAATCGACCGCGAAGCTATCTGCGACACCGAGCTCCTGGGGCACCACATCCCGAAAGGCACCGTCGTGATGATGCTCGGCAAGGGACCCAGCATGATGAAGCCCGCGATCCCGGTCGACGACTCCAAGCGCAGCAAGTCCAGTCTCGCCGCGAAGGCTCGCGTCTGGGACGACGACGACGTCGACCAGTTCAAGCCTGACCGCTGGCTTGTCGACGGCGAGTTTGACCAGCAGGCCGGCCCTCAACTTGCTTTCGGCCTCGGCACGCGCGGGTGTTTCGGTCGTAGACTCGCATACTTGGAGCTAAGGATTATCGTGACGCTGATTGTGTGGAACTTTGAGCTGCTGCAATGCCCGGAGGAACTGTCTGGGTATGCTGCAAAGGAGGGTCTCACGTTCAAGCCCAAAGATTGTTACGTTCGTCTGCGGGCACTTGGCAAGGAATGAGCATGAGTTCTTGGGCAATTAAAACTTTTGTGTACAAGGAACCGGACAGCATAGTGGAGCGCTTCATGACCAGGCGGTTTGTCCCTGGGTGTATTTTTTGGCATTAGACTGGAGGCGATCATCACCAATTACCAATCCTATCTACCCAGTTAATTCTCCTCGACCGTGTTCGCGTATTGTCTCAAAAGCGCAAATAGATGCATTAAGTCAACTCAACGATTCCCTCTTGATCTTATTAGACGACTCGAATCATCGTTACGGGTCATCTAGGTATGGATCAAGGGTAGTACTGCGGGCGGTTGCGCAAGGGAGACTATCACTGGCCTCTCTCTGGATCGAAGGCACTAAGATAGGGATAAAAGTCTAGAGTCTTATCGTCACGAGATTTGATTCGATGCTACTCTTTGAGCCATATTATTCGAGCGTCCACCAATCACAGAGCGAGACCCATCGTGATCGACGGACTGGACGTTCTCAACTTCCCCGCCCCCATTGCTAGCGTTACTCCCACCCAAGATCCACGCGTGGCGGCTCCAGCAGAATGCATGACGCAGCTGATCAATTCAAGCAGCTCTGATATCACAGTATTAAATTTAGAAAATGGCAGATACCACCGAACAAGCTCCACCGGAATCTATTGAGGCAGGTGTCGCTGGCCAGAGCGAGGACGAGTTCGAGCCCCAAGAATGGGAATCGTCCTCCTCTGGGTCGGCCTCTGTTACGTCATCCATCTTGCAGCATGCTTACGCCAACGGAAGACGGTAAGAAATGATTACGGGCAACTACATTCGTAGCTGTGTTCACAAAGTTTAGGTACCACTATTATCGGGACGGAAAGTATCCCATCCCAAACGACGATGTTGAACAGAACCGCGAAGACATGAAGCACGCCATGGTCATGGAATTAACCGACGGGAAACTCTTCCATGCACCGATTGGCGAAACACCTGAGAAGATTCTGGATCTGGGAACCGGAGTTGGTGAGTCCGAAGTCACAAGACTGATCTTGAGAAAAGCGAACATGTGTTTACAGACTTACAGGTACCTGGGCGATAGAAGGTGTGTCTGATTCTTGCTTGTGGGCAACTCTGTCACATAAAATGCCACAAAGCCATAAGACAGATATCAACTGACAAGCTCTCTGCTAGTTGGGGATCTCTATCCCTCTGCAGAAGTGACTGGCTTAGACTTGTCTCCCATTCAATCGGACTGGTATGTACATGAATTCAGTCTCTGCGTCAGCCCTCCCTCTAACCGTCTCAAGGGTGCCCCCAAATGTTCACTTCATCGTCGATGACGTTGAAGACGAATGGCTTGTAAGATTCTTCTACAAACTGTGCAAGTTTCTGTTGCTAATTGTACGCAGTCTGGCGACAACTTTGACTTCATCCACATGCGGAATCTCGCATCTCTAGTTCATGATCTACCTAAGTTGATTGAACGTGTCTATGCGTAAGCGTGCAAAAGTCGCAGCCCCTACGCCTTTCTATGACGCTAACTGCTCGCTCATAGCAATCTCAAGCCTGGTGCGTGGGTTGAAACTCAGGATTTCAGCGCCAACGTCGCCTGCAATGACGGCACCATGCCAGACGACTGGTATCTCTTGCAGTTCTGGGAGAAGATCCGCCAGGCCATGTCGAAGCTCAATATCGATATACAGGTGGGACCTCGCATCGGTAAAATCATGGAGGAGGCAGGGTTCGTCAACGTTCAGAAGAAGTCGTATAAGGTACCTGTCGGAACTTGGCCCAAGGACAAGACCTTGCGCTTGGTGGGCATGTACATGCGAACCGTGACTGAGGACTTCCTGGGTGCGGCGGCGAGTAAGCCGCTGGCGGCTTTGGGCATGGAACGGACGGAAATTGAGGTCTTTCTTGCCTTGGTCCGAAAAGCGATCAGGGATCCTGAGGTTCATGCGTACGGGACTTACTACTCATGGACTGGACAAAAGCCTCGTAAAACTGAGGGCGAGCAGGATGCGTGAGTGCGTGAGAAAACACGAGAGGTGGGAATCGCTGCTGCCGCATAAGTAGTGACCGAAATAAATTTTGGTCTGAAATATTGTAGCTAAGCCGCTGAAGACGCATCCTCAATCTGACAGGTGATGTGATGATAGTACGAAGCCTTGAGTAGTGTCTATTTGGGTTTTCAAAGAGTCCGTCATTATTGTTGTTACTTCACAGGAATTCGGCAGAGAGTATGTGATCACCAGGTCACATGGGTTTGTGAATAAACCAACGCTTTTGTCATGGACATCTCTCTAATGAAGAATTAATCTATCGGATCTACTTTACCGACAACCTTGGCTGGAACTCCGACAGCAACTGAATAGGGAGGAACATCCTTATTCACAACCGCTCCGGCGCCGATGGTACAGCCCTTGCCAATCGTGACTCCAGGAAGCACCGTAACATTGGCTCCCAGCCAGCAGTCATCCTCAATCGTGATCGGCTCCGCATACTCAATGTTGTCTCTCCGGGACTGCAGGCTAGTCTCATGCGTCGCCGTGATTAGGCTCACACCAGTAGCGAACATGACGCGATCACCAATGGTGACGTGTGCGCAGTCCAGGATGACGGTGCTAAACAATGTTAGGAAAGAACACTTGGAACAATCGCAGAAGAACGAGGCATCTTACTTGAAGTTGGCATAGAACCGGTCTCCAATGGTGATGTTGCAGCCGTAGTCTACTTGCAAGCTCGGCTCAAGGTAAATGTCCTCGCCCACCTTGCCGAACAGCTCCTTGATCATGGCGACCCTCTTGTCGGCGACTTGTTCTGCCGTTGCCTCCTCTTCGGGGACGTAGGTGTTGAACTTCTGAGCCATGCGACGTGCTCGGTTCCGGGCGTGAACCAGCTCGGGAGCCATGCAGCTGTAGAGCATCCCGGAGATCATCTTTTCGTAGTCATCGCACCAGGGGACGTGGGTCAGGGATTTGGCATAGGCCACCGCCTTTTCATTCTTCTCTGTGCGAACTGGGGGAACCATGGTGGCTGTGTAGAAGTTGTCAAGAAGGAGAAATATGAATAAACAGTAAATCGGGATGAAATGCGATGAGCGATGGGCCTCTTTAAATCGAATGGATGGGAAGGGAGCAAACGGTGGTGGTGATGATGTCTGGAGGGGACAGCTGGCCGAATTTCCTCATTGGGTAATAAAACCAATTGGTCGTCTCCACCAGAGCAGCGGCTAAATTTCCGTTGGTTAGTGAAGTTCAGAGGCTTTTGTTGGGCGCCTCAAATGGAAGTATATCCAATCCAGCTGACAAGACGTGCGCTGCTAGCTACGGTGTTGTGTTCCGCCGTCAAGTTATGAGATACCTACAGCGATGTGCTGCGATGGATTGGGGCTAGCGCAGCGCACAGCTAAAGTTCGCGTTGCAGGGCCTAGTTACAGGGGACACATTGCGGTCAGAACACAGCGACTCCCAAGTCTCATACCAAGAACTACAATGACGGTTACACGTGGGCAATTGAGCTCAATTGAACAAAAGGTTTCTCAGGGATTTCACTTTGTGGTGTCTGTCTAGGTTGAGAATACCTAGACCAGTGCGCTTTCTCAGAACTAACCCTGATCTGGAACTCATTGAACCAAATGATTTGAAGTCTTGAAGACTACTGATAGCTGACCAGGCGATTGACCCATCCATTCGATGATCAGGTACTCATCAATCCTCAAACATATCTGTTGGCTGGCGCCCGCTCATAATCATCGCGAAATGCAGCACCAAGTGTCTACACTCCGCCATCAGACTTTTGCCTAGCGAGATCGCGGTTGTAGAAATGCCGAATCAGGAGCGCCGTCAGGGCCGCGCAGGCCCCGAAGCCAGCAGTAATGTAGTTTCCGGTCACGATGTAAGGCTGAAGGTTTGCTGGGAAGGTGAAGATCGGGACCCATGCCGTAAAGATATAGGCGAAAGCGTTCATCTGACAATTAACACCCAAGTCTTAGATTCTGCCGACTTGGAGGGGGAAGGAGAAATGTCGGATAGAATGACTCACCAAGGCAGAGGTGTACGCTCGCTTTTCTGGATCATGCCTGCTGGTCTCGTTCACCCAGGTCCAGGTGATTCCGGCGCAGGTGCCTGAGAGGGCGGTCAAATCTAATGGAGTATGTCATAGTTAGCAACGACGCTGGCGCAGTAGTAATTCCAAGTGGCGAAGCCTTACAGTAAAGAGCCCAGCGACTTCCAATATTCGAGGGATGCACGGGAGTCGCGGCAAGGGCGATGGGAAAGATGATGGCCATGACGCTGGCAAACACCATGCCCGGCCAGCGCGCGGATCCGGGAAGACTGTCGGAAACCCAAGAATTGATGAGTGTGCACACGATTGAGATGATGTTTATCTGAATCATGTTTCAGCCAAGCACGACATCCCAAAAAGTTATGGACGGACTCACGCCGAGAGGGATGATGTTGATTTCAGCGACTGAAAAGACTGGAGGTTTTCCGATAACGTTGTAGCTCTTCACCCAAAAGATCACTAGCTTCTGTTAGTCCAGGATCTAGGGAGGGTCAATGGCTTCGACTCTTACTGGATCCCCCGGATTGACCAAGTTGTGCGAGGAACGCGAAGAATATGGGGACTTTTGGTGTCAGCGAGTGGGACTTTCCTCGATCGATGAGTGCTCCTACATAGATAAACGTGCCAGGTGGTGTGCCATCGTTTGACGTCCGTCCATTTGAAAAGTCCAGTCATCGGCCGAACCTCGCTAGGCATTCTGGCACGAGCCAACTCGACCTCCTTCTCGGTGAAGATCCTAGAAGTTGTGAGAACCTTTTCTTTATGGTTGGGGAAGACGTAGATACGAACCAATTTGCCTTTGCACGGGCTGGTAGCTGAGGCATCGCAAAGGCTGTCCAGACGGCACAAGGAAAGGAAATGCAACCGCATACGCTGAGAGGTCGTCAGCTTCGCCACATTCGTGGGCCCGCAACATCGGTTTAGTTGGAGAACTAACATGTACATCCATCTCCAACCAGGCAGACCGCTGACTCCATCCAATCCCGCATAGACAGCCGCCATGAGGAATCCCGAGAAGAGGGGCCCCACGGACGTGAAAACTTGAATCAAGGTGTTTCGTCGAGCAAGCTCATGAGGTTTGTAGTAGCTTGAGCAGACATACATAACCGCAGGAAAATGGCCCGCTTCAAACAGACCAACGCTGTGAATTGTGAGTTTTACAAACGATCCGAATGAGAAATGAGAAATTCAGCTTACAAGAAGCGGAAGACGTAGAGCTGGTTGACATCTTTGACACCAGCAGTAGCAAAAGTGAAAATGGTCCATGATAACTCGAGGAAAGCGATATAAAGAGGCGCATTGACCTGAAAACTTTCAGTCAGTCTTTGGGGTCCTACACGGGGGCTCTCAGGATTATTACACGGGTGAGAAGCAAGTTGGATGGGATCTGCCCAAACACGTAGGCTGCACTCCAGATAGCATTGGCGTAGTTAAGCTCTTTTCCGTAAAGTGCGAGGTCTTCCTTCATGCCGCTATCTGAAAGGCGTCTTAGCTTATTGTCGCATGGTTAGTTCTGACTGTTGCACATACTGAATGCGTTGGTGATATTGACTTGGTCCAAGTAGCGACACATCACTCCTAAAGCAGAGGAAGAGATGAGAGTCAAATCGAGCTTGGTGAGAAATCTGGCCTCCTCCTTAGGAACATCCAGGGCTTCAATGATCAGCACATTATATATGAAAGGATATCTGGTTGAGAAACGTACTTGACCAGAAGAAGGACTTCCACGTCCTCTTGGACTCCGTGTAGTTTGCGCCATTGGTGGCTCCATGATCGGACTCTTTGGAACGAGCTGGCGATTCTTCATTGCTATGCCGGACGACGGAAACGTTCTTCACGTCTTTCTCTTGAGGTAGTGACATGGTCGTAACAGCCTTGGACGTGTACGCACTGCGCCTGAAGGGGGCATTTGTCTTTTGATCGAGACTGAGCATTGATCTTATCTATCAGGCCAATAGCCACCCTCAAGGCCTCCTACTCTAGGGACAGGTAGGTTGGGGTTCGAATTCAGTGTCGCCTTCAGCGGGTCTCATGGCGACATCGAGCGATGAGTGGCCAGACTTCAATCTGGGGCATCGTCAGCTCATGGTCAGGCATGTCTGCTAGTCATTCAGAATCAATCATTGCTGACATTTACAACCACATTTTATCGTCTATGCCGTACCTGACAACATTAGCGATCGTCGGTTATCAGTGAGGGTGGTTTTGGGCAAGGGCAATCTGCGGCCGGGAAGATGACGCGAGATTGTTCCAACCACCGGGCCATATTCACGATGGCGTGCTTCAGCCCGTCGGGAAAAGTCCGCTTTCTTGTCGCGAATTTCGGGTCAATGCCACGGCAAGGACATGCGCCACGGCGTTCTGTGAAAGGCTCGCGGCAAAGATCACAATCTTGACGGACAACATCTAAGAGAATAGTAAGATCTATGGATAATATTTACATTGAATACAAGATGCCCTCTTTTTCGATGATTACATCATCTACAGAGTTTGCCTCAAACTAGACGTGGAACTACAACGGTGAGGTTTCACTCACTGGGCTGCGAGGAACGCGTCAATGTTGGTGGTGATGTCAACCAGTGGCCACTCCGTACGGTTTCCGGCCAGCGTGCCCGGAATCTTGTCGTCGCCAAACCACTCGGTAACCGCGTAGACACTGCCACCGATCTGTACCGTCGCCGTAGTTGAGCCATCCTCAGCCAGGTATGTGTTAGGGACGGTACCGACGACCGCAGCCGACTCCCACTTCGCATCCGCCGAGTGAAGCACGACCGTGCCATCAACGTTATCGGAGACAAGTATGACGGTGCCCTTGTACCGGGACGGGATCGAAACGCCGTCAAGCGCCGAGCCGATGGTGCTCGCCAACGTCAGTGGGACCCGGGCCGGTGTCGGAGCAGTGGCGTTAGGAGTGGTGTCGAGGTTGAATCGGTAAAGCTGCCCATCGGAGCTGTCTGCGATGAGGATTGACTTGCCGTCAGGCGCAGCTACGAGGCCAGAAAAGCCGTGGATGGTGTGGTCCGCAGGTGTCTTGAGGTACCACGCAGTCGCCTCGGACCCATCGGGGCTGACGTGGATGATGCTGCTGGGGAAGGTGCCGAGAGCATACGTGGTGCCATCGGGGCCGTGAGCTGTATCTTGGAAGCCGCCATAAACGCCGCCAGTTACTTCGGTCAAATTGCGCTGCCAGAGGACCTTCTCCTCCGTGAGATCGTACTTTACGAGGATGTTGTCGCCGGTGATGTTCTGTCCTGCCGTATCGAAAGCGGAGCCGGCGTCAACGATGATGGACAGCCGGCCAAGAGGATCAACGCGGACGCCGCTGGAGTGAAGCTCGCTGTCAAAGCTGAGTCCGGGCAGCTCGATGGTCTTGATCTCGGAGGTGTACGGATTCCAAGTTGCGACGCTTGCGTTGTAGAGGACGCTAGGTAAAGTAGATGAGAAACCGGTGGTTGTTTGGAGCCAGCAGAAGAAATCTTACCTGAAGTAAGCTAGGCAACGTTTCTCGTCAAAGTCAGCGTTCTCGGGGTAGAGCTGAAACGCGTTGACTGTCTTGTTTCCTGACACCGAGCCACATGTCGTATTGAGATGTTTTGTTGGGCATGCTTGGACTGCTGGCAATGCCAGTAGGGGCAGTAGATACGTGAGAAAAGCGGCCATCTTGAACGCGATGATGTGGATAAAAGACAATATGAATCTCCGATGATTGTGGTTTGATTAACCTATTATTCATGGATCTACAAGCGAGGACATCGCGCAACTTATGTACTTACCACAAGTCCCGGGTGCGAAGACTGCCGGTTCTTTCCTGTCTACTTACAAATGAGAGGCCACTTACAAATTCCCGACGTAGACATGCGCGTCAATCTCATTTCTCGTAATGCTACAATGGTTCCTAACAGGGAGAACGAGAACCCGCAATCATGGGTGTAGCCGGTTACGGCAGTGCAAAGTTGACTCGTGCTTAGGGATGTAGGATAGGAGAAAACTTGGTGAGCTGGTTGTTCAGCCCTACGGACTCAAATTGCATCCGACGGGAGCTAATTGGCAACAAGCTTTTTACACGATCCCTACGCCCAGCAAATCTGCTTCTTATTCGACAAAGATTCGATTCATAACAGCCATTGGTTTTCCAGGTGTTCACTCTCCTCACGGACGAAAATATCGACATTGTGACAAGTATCTACTGCTGCTCCCACCGACGTTCCCGCCGAGCCTTTCAACATCCAAATACGGATGGGATGACATGAAATACGGCGGCCGCGGGGCATTTCAGAGCGGAAAAAGGGAATGCAAAAAATACAGCAGAACAACAAGCATATGTTCTATCAGTATTGTCTGGTTCAATTGAGCCAATAATCGCCTCTTCACTGATCATGGTAGTTGGGATGAGTAACGCCCAGCCATCCACTAGCTTGTTCGGGAAGTTTTATCCAGACCCATCAGCGCACTGCCGCTGTCAATTTCAAGGGTGACCAAGTTTCGATCTTGGGAGCTTGGCTTTTAAATATCCGTATTGAGCACATCTTAATGACCCCAAGAAATCCGACTTCCGAGGCACCACATGATGAATTTCTGCCTCGAGAGTCCTTCTCTTCACGATCTCCGTTAGGTTAACTCACGCTTAGGGAAGACTTCTACAGGCTACTAGAGAATCTTCCTAATAGAGACAGGAGGGTTGCGAGCAGACCGAGGGCCAATCTGAGTAAAAATTGAGTGCATCGTCTTTCGACAACGAAAGCAAAAACGAAAAATGAAAGGGACGAGACTCGAACTCGCGCGGGTTGCCCCACCAGGAAACAGATGTTAAGCTGACCTTAACCTGGCGCCATAACCAACTCGGCCACCCTTCCGTGTGATGGTCCTTGAACCGGTGATGGTGTCCCGGCAGTATTCCGGGGATTTTGATGGGACCTGCAGAAATTTCGACATTGGTGTTGTGGGGTATGGCGAGGTGGATTTCACGAGAGCCCTATCCAGAGGACTAGCGCCCAAAGACCGTCGGACTCCGGACCCGGGAGCTCAGGATTGAAAAAGACGGGCGCGCATCAAGACTGCACCGCTACAGGGATGGCGAGCAAGAAGGTATTCCTTCAAGATTGCTGGAAGATATTCGGTACCTTAGTCATGTGCAACCCCAACTCGGGTCGTTCGATTGCAATGATGGTGATGTCATATCAGGACCCTGAATGCAAGCTACAGGGAGCTTTGATGCGGAACGTCGAATCCTTTAGTGCTTATTATGGCTTGCCGAACTGCCGATTCGCGCTTAGCATTGCAGGTCGCGTACCGTGGCAATCTCAAAGGCCCGGCGATAAAATGGTGTTAACCCGGACTCAATGTACGTACCACGGGTTAAGACCGTGTTTGATACAGCTTAGTTCCGCCGCTCCGTTGATGTAATGGCGGATTTGCGAAGACGCAGGCGTTGATAAGAGGACCTGGATCTTCCAACTCGAGAATCAAGCCAAGACCACAATCGCGACAATTCCACCTTATTAAGCTTGTTAGAATAACACCTGCTGAAACACCAACAGAAAAGACTGCACGCAGCGATTTCAAGATGTCACCAACGAAAGGTCTCGTCCTTGTCACGGGCTCGAATGGATTCATCGGCGCTCGAACTGTTGAGGCATTCCTGAATGCTGGATATTCCGTCAGGGCAGCAACTCGTTCGCAATCGTCGGCTTCTGGTTTGCTCGACGCACTCCCAACGTTTTCCGAGTCTGGTCAGCTATCAATATCTCTCGTGCCCGATATCACCGTCCCAGGTGCCTTCAACGAGGCTGTCAAGGGAGTCACAGCCATCGCCCACCTCGCAAGCCCCGTCAACTTCAAGATCACAGACGCGGATCTCATCATCACCTCAGCCGTCAAAGGCACAACCGGCATCTTGGACTCCGCTCTACGAGAACCAAGTTTGAAGTCGTTCGTCTACATGTCATCGATCGTGGCAGTGCGCGGCCAGGGAGAAAAGTACCAAGGCCGTAGCGTTACAGAGGAAGACTGGAACGACGAGGCAGAAGACACGCTCGCGAGGCTCGGCGACGCCGCCACCGGCCACAACCTCTACGTCGTCAGCAAAATCAGAGCCGAGCGCGCATTCTGGGACTTCCAGACCAAGAACGCAGATAAGATCAAGTTCACCATGACGGCAATCAACCCAGTCTGGGTTGCGGGGCCGCCTCTGATTTTGCCCGAAGACCCGAACAAGCTGAGCGATACCGCGATTGTCGCCTACCAGATCATGGACGGCCAGACTGTACCGCCGGCGGGACCTGGCAATGGAACTCACGTCGACGTCCGGGATGTTGCTCGGCTGATCACGTTTGCGGTGGATCACCCGGACATTACTGATGGCCAGCGGTACATTGCGGGCGGTAATGGCAACTTCGCCAACGTTCAAGCGTACAGCGATGTTCTTCGCAAGGCTTATCCTAACAGGCGGGATATCATTGTTGAAGGCGAACCAGGGAAAGGTTATCTTGAAGACTATAGCGAGCCCCCTGAATCTAGGAAGGTGGATGCGAGCAAGGCGGTGAAGACAACAGGCCAGAACTGGATACCGTTTGAGAAGACGTTACTGGATGCAGCAAAGGCATATGAGAGATACTTCTAAGAGACGCTATGTGTTGACTCGAAAGAAGACCTCAACCGTCGAACGTAAGGATGGTTTGCTAGTTTGTGTGAACAAACGCAAGGGTAGTCATTACTATATTTAGCTTATAGACTCAACAGTCACTGCTCTGACCCGTCCACTCCGACTTGATCTGACAACTCGCACATGAGCATCTTGATCGCACAATTGACTTTCAACATGGGAGTCAGACGACTGCGTCGCACCCTCCAATACCCACGCAGTTTCATCCGACACAATTTGAGCAATTCCCTGCCAGTAATTACCTTGGCTAGAGTACCTGCACTGCACCATGAAGATGAGGATCAAAGTCAGGCCGACTGCCATATTCAATGCAACCACACCAAACACAACCATAAGACCACGAAAGCTCTGCGGCGTCAGCACGTTAAGAGACGAAGTCAACACTGCGTTTCCCTTGACGTCGAACTGCGGGAGCGCATCGTTGATGATCGAGCCTGACAAAGCTGTCAAAGTGGACTGCATCGCCACACCAGGTCTGTTGGTCGCGTTGAGAATGTCGGAGAAGATGGCTTGGTATTCGACATTAGGCTTTACGTGGGAGATTCCGCTTCCGAGCGGATCCATGAAGATCGAGATGTTATCGCGCGGCGAGTTGTAGAGATCGTTGATGATTTTGTTAGTGAGATACTGCGTGGCGTTGAGATGTTGTCGATTTTGAACGAAGTCGACGCTGTAGATGCCACGCCGGGTTGTGGTGTTGGATCGAGGCCCAATACCCAGTTGCCGTTGGACTTTGCGAGTATCCCATACCTTTCCGTCGGCGTCCCAGGTCACTTTAGGTTCTGTCAAGTCCTTTTCACTCGAGACCTTGACGTCGGCAAAATTGATAGCGACTTGTTGAAAGCAGATCGTCATGTCCAGCCTCAGAACGCCCTTGTCGATCCGTCTGCCCTCGGGGGTGAGTTCGGAGATAGGGCGTTCGTATGTGATCCACTCCCCGTCAGTGTATGAGACGTTTGGCAAGGCGAGGTTGACGCTCAAGAAGCGTCCATCAGAGCTCCTCCACAACTCATGTGTTCCGTTCGTGCGAAAGAACAAGAAAGCCTCCGACCAAGCTGTCACAGGCTCACCTGAAATCGTGAAGTTTTGGGCGCTTGCTCTGGCGTTGCTGCCGTCTGGCAGGCATAGACCGTTCGTCAGACCCTGCTTGGCTTGTGCTTCGGTATATTGGAATTGTGGGAGGGAGCAATTGAAGGACGAAGGGAAGCACGTCCCGTCCTCGCAACCTGGTGGTAATTGCAGCCCCGCCTCGCTAAACGTTGCCTGGATTGATATGTTGCCAACAAGTGCGAGGTAGAAAGACAGCAGACTGGTTGAGGAAGGGGGCACTGTCATGGATAGGGCGGCGGAGACTGAGGGACGCATGCAAACGAACCGGGAGTCAAATCCGTAGCCTTTGCCTTCGTAAGCGCGCAATGATGACATTCTCTCCGAAGAAACAGGCAGAAAGACTCTGTTCAAGACCCCCGTGTCGCTAACCCCCAGGTTGTTTGGCGTGGAGTTCCCTGATGACGGCACCTCACCAAAGGGAACATACGCTCTGGGCCGCAAAATCCAGTCATTCGTTTGTCGATTGAGTGAAATCACATCCTGACTCATGTGTAGTCTCAAAGTACTATCGCGGGCATCTCCGACCAAAGATGCTAGCCGCAGATCTGAGACCAGGAGTGTCGAAGAGAACTGGACCGCAAGAGTAGTCAGGAGCAGGATGATCACGAGCGCCGCCTGTAAGATAGACTTGCGGGCAGAGGATACAAGCAGCCATGCCAGTCTCAGAGGGCCATCGTTCGCGCAGCGAATCATGGAGATTTCGGCAACCCTGTACAGAGGTACCCCGTGTCTTTCCAATATGATGCCGGCGACGAGGCTTGTGTAGATTGCTGATTGTGCAGTGACTGCGCTTCGAAGAAGGACCGTTGACAGGGTGATTGCTTGTGTGATGTATTGGTCGAGCATGATCCGCCTCCAGGCGACGGAGGCAGTCCTCCCATCTTCGAAGCCTTCGCCGGACCACAGGAAGAGAAGAAAGCCGAGAATTCCCAGTATGAGCGTCGTTCCACCGCCGATAATTATCATGCCGTATTGCCCCAATCCATACTGCAGCCGGTGCAGGTAGCTTCTGGACTCATCTTTCGTCTCGTCGATTTCTGATTTGAATGTTGCTTTTGGAGACTTCGCAAATGTCACCTTCTGAGCAGGCTGGACAGACGCCTCAGTCTGGGGGAAGAACGAGTACCCCATCCTTCTAACGCATGCTCAAAGCTGTGCACATGCGAAGATTGGATGGAGCTCAGATGACACCAGGCAACAGACAGCTGCCATCATTTCCAACGCTCAGAGGACGGCCATGGATATACATAAGCATAATCAAACTCGACAAGCCGCACCCTCGTCACCTACGCGGGGGAGCTCGTTCCCGTCCCACCACGCTGTCTTGAATCAAGCAAACATGCATGCTTCAAAACGGGTCTCCCCGCATCACAAAGACGCAACGAATGGCGCGCTCTCGTCAAGTCTGCCTTGCCGTATTAGACTCAACGACGACATGGAGCTGCTACAGTCGGCTCCAGAGTGTCGGGGCAGGTATTGGTCAATTTGAGTTGTTGGTCCGTGAATCCCGCCGCACCTTATCGACAAACATCGTGATGCATGAATGGCAGGTGGGAACTGTTCGTCGAAAAGGGGGTGTTGGGAGGACGTGCGTGGGTGAGGTTGCAGGGGTTCTCTGGCAGATGGCGTCGCAGAGCGTACGGCGAAGCTCGAGATGCTTGCACCGATCCTACGCGACGGGTCTTGATATCCATGGCAAGCGAAACTCTGATACGGCGAGCTTGGTGATTGCGCGCTGTGATGGGAGACGGGACCAACATGATGACAATTGTGAGAGTGCGCTCGTTTATCACATAGGTGCTGGAAGAGGCAATCCGACTGAGTCGGTGTTCGCTCGGTTTCGGAGACGCCAATAGTCTCAAATATACGCTACAACATTAAGTGAGGTGGTTAATAGAGCGCCAATATAGCTTGCAAACCAAGTACATGCCAAGCAAGGCGCTTGGAAAACTTGAACGGGCAGAAAAGGAAATGGAAGATGCGGGATGAACTCAACGGCCCGCAACCAAAAATTAGACTTTGGTTCGTGTTGAGCGCGGGGTAAGCGCCCATTCTTAGGTGCTGCACGTTAACAAAGGCAAAAAAGAAAAAGAAAAAGAAAGGGAAAGCAGCATGCAGCTGCCACCAACTGGCCTGAATCAATGCACAACACTATCGTGGAGCAACAAGTCCTTTGAACTACACAGACAAGAAGGCAAAAGATGAGGTCGAGCCCGGGTTCGAACCGGGGTTGCCGGAAGTTTTGATACGATCAAAATCCGGAGTGATAACCACTACACTACACAACCGAGGATTGCTGCTGAACAGGCGGAGTCCCTGTTCCGTGATTGGCCGGAGGACAGAGCAACTGATGAAGCCTTGCGACCGGCGTAAAGCCGACGTGATCGACACGCCTCTCCTTGTCAGCGGCAGAAACCTCGCCGAAAATCTGCTCAAGGAAAATCACTCTCCACAACTCCCTCAATTCATGTTGAGGCTCTTGGGGCCCGCGATCGCGAACACTGCAACCTCATCTCGCAGAGTTGTCTTGGCACTCACCTTGACGGGGCACTGGAATATTCTCAAGACATGCTGCGCCCTGAAACCAAGCAGCCGGGACACGCCTGAAATGCGCCCTTCGTCATCTGTTTGGTGCGAATTCTCCCCGTCCAGAACCTACAATGCCATCCGCAATATCTCTCAGGAGATGGTATGTCTTGGCAGCACGATGCTCCAGAGTGGCAGTGCGCCGACTTTCAATGGTCCTGCAGAGGTCTCTAAGGCGCTTTACGGCGCATTATGAACACAACTCCCCAGAAATCTCGGGGGAACAATGACTCGAGCGCCTGTGGGCGGACTTTTGACATGCCCGCCCGCTTGGTACATCCCTGGCGGGGGCCAAACTCTATCTCAATAGGGTGAGGAAACAATCTAAGAAACTTTCTGCATCTTGATTGAAGTTGGGACGATGGGGGAATTGCTACGGCCAAGCTGCCCCTTTCCATTACAACCTTACTGATGGTTCATCCAGAGTCCGGCAGTCCCGGTTGACGAGACCGACCGGCGAATGCCTCCGCATGGTGCGATTTACCCGGTGGGAGTGATGATTGTGGACGATGCCAAGAAATCACCATTGGAATTAGGGGGGCTATATGAGATGCGTATAAAGAGTAGCATGACGCTCTGGCATCACCAAGTGCTCGTCGAAGCTTTCCAAGCACGGAATTCCAACTCCAGTCTCTCTTTCGTCTGACCTCCGACATCATGGTCCGTCTTTCCAGCTTCGTCGCCTTCGCCGCGGCATCCCTCGCCCCGTTCACCCAGGCCCAAGACCTGGAGACATGTCTTGAGACGGCGGGTCTCATCACCTCGTTCCCCGAGACCAACGCCTCGTTCCCTAACGACATCCGTTCATGGCAGCGCCGTATCACCCCCACCCCGGCCGGTGTCGCCTGGCCGCGCACCACACCTGAGGTGGCCGCCGCCCTTGCCTGTGCCCGGGAGGCCAAGGTCCTCGTCGCCGCTCGTGATGGTGGCCACTGCTACGGCTCTTACAGCTTGCCCACTGCCGGCCTCACCATCAACATGACCCATTTCCAGAACGTCAGCTATGACGATACCACTGGCCTGCTTACCTATGGCGGCGGTGGTTTGGTGAGCCCCGTGGTCAGCTGGCTCTGGAAGGAGCACGGCGCCCGTTTCCCTCACGTCCGCGCCAACATGGTCGGTCTTGCCGGCTCCTCCATCGGAGGTGGCTTCGGCTCCCTCTCCCGCATGCTCGGAACTCCCATGGACTACCTCGAGGGTGCCACGTACATGCTGTACAACGGCACCATCGCCGAGTGCTCTCGCACCAAGAACCCCGACCTCTTCTGGGCTCTCCAGGGTGCCGGCAGCTCCTACGGCATCATCCTTGACCTGACCACCAAGACCTGGAAGCCTACTTTCGAGAAGGCTATCGACTACACCATCACTCTCAACGACACCTCGCTCACCGCCGGCGTTGACGCCCTCCTCGCCATCCAGGAACACGTCATCATCGGCGAGTGGCCCGATGAGCTGACCCTCCGCTGGTCCCTCACTGCGCCGCCCTTCACCGGCTCCGGCTTCTACTGGGGCAACCCCGATGACTTCGACGCGCTGATGGCGCCCCTCATGGCCAAGCTCCCTGCTGGCACCAACCTCACCCGCAACATCAACGACTTCTGGGCCACCGAGAACGTCGCCACTCCCTCTATCGACATCCCCGTCGACACCTACCCGCCCCGCAGCTTCTACCTCCAGGCCCTCGTCCTCCGCGCCGACCAGCCCTTCACCAAGGAGTCCGCCAGCGCGCTCTACGAGCACACCACCCTCGCCTTCAACCGCACCGACCTGACCAAGTTCGGCTTCATCGACCTGTGGGGCGGCAAGCCCGCCCGCGCCCTCAAGGACGAGGACACCTCCTTCGCCCACGCCAACAGCCTCTGGCTCATCCGCTGGGAGGGCCGTCTCGCCACCGGCCTCACCGACTTCCCCGCCGACGGCCTGACTTACATGCAGAACGGCCTCGAGCCCTTCCGCCAGCAGTTGACCACCGAGGGAGTGCCTCTGCGCGGTTTCGTCAACTACCGCGACACCGCCTTGTCTGTTGACCAGTGGAGCGAGCGTCTGTACGGCAAGAACTACGCCAAACTGCAGCAGTTGAAGACCGTCTATGACCCTGAGGGCATGTTCACTGCTCATCCTCAGAGCATCCCTCTTCCTGGCCAGGAGCCCCCTGCCGCGATCAACTAAGCCGGCGTGTTCAAATCTCAGAAACTTGATGTATATACTTCAGGCTTCAGACTATTATGAGTCCAGCCAAAACATATTGAGAAATTGTATTGAAACGTTTCCTTATCAAAAGCATGGCGTGCTTGTGTTACAATCAATTCTATTTAAGCACCCGACCTCATGCCGCTAGCTTGCCTCCTGATAGTATCCTTCTCGCCGTATCCTTCATCGCATTCATCGCAACAAGATACAAACTAGGGCCGACACTGATTCTAGCTACCCCAATCTTGCCAAGTTCGTCCGTTGACAATGAATCAGGTCGATCGCCCAGCTTCACTGCAACCCGGCCCGATAGCTCCCGCACAAGAAGTTCAACCTCCGACATCCGCAAGCCCCGGCCCGTACCACCCCAGTAGAAGACCGTCGTCGCTCCCGCTTCAAGGTACTTCCTGCCCCTCTCAACAGCTTCCTTCAGCGCTCTCTCATCATGATTGGAGTAGTACGGTTCTAAACGGAAGATATCGCATCTCGCATTGATGACAAAGTCAGGGCACCCGGCCTCCCTTGCTGCTGCAAGAGCCCTGTTGAGACGCTTGACCTGAGTGTCGGCGCCGTACAACGACCCCTCAATGCCTTGTCCAAACCCAGCCGACGGGATGCTGTCTTCGATATTCGCGCCCACGGCTCCAAGCTCAATGACCCTCTTCACAACGCCTTCGATGCTTTCGCCGTAGCCGTCTTGGATGTCGACGGTGAGCGGAAGCCCTGCAGTCTTGACGGCGGGGGCGATCTGCGCGATGGCGGCTAGGTTTTGCTCCAACGTGAGGTCCTCGTCTTTGATTCCCAAAATTGCAGCAATGGCCCACGAGGCTGTCGCTATCGCCTTCACGGGCTTCGACTCGCTGGTATTGAGAGAAAGAACGGCATTGAGGGATGCGAGATCCCATACATTGGAGAGGACGAGTGGCTTCGAGGGGGCATGGAGTTCCTTCAGCTCCTTTGCTAGATGGTTTGTCATGGCTTTTGGCGGGTGTTTGGCTTCAGCATAGATGTCTGAGGGTTGATCAAAAGATGAGAACTACAAAGTCGTGCGATGATTGAAGGTTGGATCATGGCGATGACTCTTCACGGGGAGCCCCTCACAACACGCTAGTGGTAAACGAAGGGCGCGCTTCACTTTCCCGACGCAAGCCGCTGCGAGACCGGCGCACTTAGACGGCATCAATCGACAACTGAATTAAATCAAGCATTGGAGACATTCTCAAGCAGGCTACTTGACTTCGAGACTTCTTTCATCATACGGATCACCCTTCCCATGCTGATGCTCTTTTCCCATCTTGTCATATGGATCACCCGGCTTCTGCCCACCGCCTCCGTGATGCCCACTCTCCTCATGCTTGTGTGGCTTGGCAACATGCAGCTCATCAGAATGCAGCGCAACACCAGCCTCGGCCGCGATACTATCCAATGGATCCCGCATTAACATCATCGTCATGCAGTGATTAATATGCATCAACGTGTCGTAACGCTTCTCAATCACCAGTATCCCATCATCCCCACACGAAGCCCCATCCACCCCCCTCGCACACCGCGCCGCTTCCCACATCTTGCGCCAGTAAAAGACGCAGTGTACAAGGTGCCATTCGTGGGTAGTGAAGAATCGTGCATGCTGGCCGCGTCTCGCCGCCTCGGGTAGCTGGCTGACTTCCTCGAGCGTCATGGGGTGCGTCTGGTTCTGGTCGTGCCAGTATCCCCAGGTGTTGCCTGTCATGTCGGGCTCATTCGGGCCCAGAGACTCGAACTCTGCGGTGAGTTTGGCGGAGCGGCAATGTGGTGGAAGCCATGCTGCGGCGAGGGAATCATATACACAGCTGTTGGCGCGCGCTTCTTCGATGGTCTCGCCGCAGTTGCATGATACAGGATGTTGCTTTTGGGTTAGAGAAAGGTGAGGTACCAGTAGGGAGAAGAGCCCATATCCAGCAAGAATCGTGATTATGACGCGTACTGCGATGATCGAAAGTGTTTTTACAATGGAGGTTGTGGGTAGAGATCCTGAGTCTCCTCCGTTGGAATCTGGCTTTCCCTCTTCATTTGCGGATAATTGGGTGTATGTGACGCCTCTTGGTTTTGTCCAAGGCAGGATGATGTCTCGGAAACTGTAAACAGGAATGATTAGAGCCCACATCCAGTATCTTCGTCACTATTGAACTCACAATTTCGACATGTTGGCGCCTCGCTAAATTTTCTCTATCTTTGCTCGGCTCCTTTGGTGGGTGCGAGCAAATGCGTCGAAGAATGCGTTTTCTTTCGAACCGCCAAAGAAACGAAAGCTTTAGTCGTCATCGAGGGTGCTAACATAACCATCCATCATCTCCGCCTTCGTAACCCATGTAAGCTTCCTCCGACTGTTCCCGTTCGTGTTATTCGCTTCGAGATAAGCACCTCGCCTAATGCCAGGATTCCGCCAAGACGCCGGTTCGGGTTGAAGGATTCGGCGGAACTTGCCAATTGCTCAACTCTGACAACCTCTCATCCTGAGCGCAAGGCGGACCCCCGCGCCCTAAACCAAAGGAAGAAGCTCGCATTGCAAAATCTACCAGACTTCGGCCCGCCTCGCGGATCGGATCTAGTACGCAGTGCTGCCGATGGCGGGCTGATATGACGCGGCATGGTTGCACGCGCACTTTTGTCATTCATCCATCTGCATGCAAGAAAGCGTTGCTGCCTGTTTGGTTCGAGAGCATACTGTGTCATAGTTGGATATGGTCTGATGCTTGGTATGACAAGGCGGCCGGTAGCCTGCCCAACTTCCTGTAGTACGGGAGCACCAGTGGTGCCGGTTTTGCCACTCCAGCTATCTCGTTTGGGCGAGGTTACATGGGCATCAGCAACTAATTAGATCAGCAGCATGCACTTGTCCACATTATCCAATGACACAGTTAGTAGAAGTATTGCAGCGACAACCAGCGCTTCTTTCTATCATAATTCAGTTACGAAGGTTACGTGTTATTTCATGAATTGGAATCGAGCGTTACTTAATGAGCGTCTTACAGTACCAGCGGCATGTGAATCCCCCCGAAAGGAATATCAACATCCTCAACTAAATACTAAGGTGTTGCTTGATACTACGTTGAACCTATCCACCACTTTGGTCCTATGGATAGTGTTCATTGTCGTCAACCTTGTACCAGACCAGATTTCCACTCTTGATCAAACATGTAACGTCTCCGACCAGAATGAAATGGCTTAAGCCTTGACATGGGCCTCCCTTTTAGGATAGAAGGGGATAGCCTCAGCCTCAGCATCAGCGCCACGCTTCGGGTAGAACGGGATGGCCTCAGCCTCAGCGTCGGCACCCCTCTTGGGATAGAATGGGATGGCCTCAGCTTCCGCAACAGCATCTCTCTTGGGGTAGAAGGGAATTGCCTCTGCTTCAGCATTTGCACCACGCTTCGGGTAGAAAGGGATAGCCTCAGCTTCGGCATCAGCACCTCTCTTGGGGTAGAAGGGGATTGCTTCGGCCTCGGCATCAGCTCCTCTTACATCTGCGAACGTAGTAATTGTCAGCGCCTATCCTGTGTAAGATGCACATATTCTCATGTAGTGGCAGTAAGACCATACCAAGAGGGGCAGCGGCGGCAAACCCAATAGCAGCAAGAATCAGATACTGAGCGCGCATAATGAAGGTTTCTGGTTGCCCGTGAGTGTTGATCTGGATATGATAAATGACCAAGAGCAAAGCTTGCGGATTCTGATTGCGTAAAGAAGAAGGACAAAGATCCAAAATTTGGAGCAGAGGCATTATCCTGATAAATAATGAATTCGAGACGTAGACTTACATCACCATCTTTGAAATAGTCTCGATGGTGACATACGTCGCTATCTTACCGTAGCCAATCGCTATCAGTTATCTAAACGCCAGGAAGGATTCCTGCAGAATTGCGGCGTAACAGGACTAGCCACCATTTGCCCCAACAGTCATGTCAGGAAGGCCTTCAATTCCGCCAGACTCCGCATACATACCAGAAGTGGAAGGTTGCAACGGCAACATGCGGCTTCGTGGGACCTGATGGCGAGAACAACCCCTACTGGATTTGCCTGCTAGGGAGCGAATACGCGAAGGATGATGGCGGGGCAGTAGGATCTGGGTTCTCGCAGTTAAGCATGATCGAGGGCGGCATACCAGTTTCGGGGCCGCACCCTTTGCCTGGCTTGTAAAAGAGGGGAAGGTGACCTGTCTTTCCAGCTTCACGCGCATTCGTAGGAGCATGCGTTTTTTGATGAACACTTGGCCACTCTCCATGACTCCCATGCACCTCCTTACCTCCGTTCTTCTTAGACTTCCAATTTCACATATACCGCCTTTGAGTCATGGTGAAGCATAACGGCAGACAGTCGACGGATTTTCAAGGGATCATGGACGATGAAGAGACTTCCTCTAGCAGCCATGACGACTCCGTCAATTTGGAAAAGGCTCTTCTTCCAGTCAATCAGGATACTATACAGCGCTCAAAGAGAGAGATCAACCAGAACCGACTTCCGCCTCTGCTGCGACCAACAACATGGTTGACATTTTTCAACATTGGGATATTTGTTGCGTCATGTGTCGTATGGACAAAGACATCATCAAAGCAAACCCTCAAAGACCAGGACTTGTGGAAAGCAACATCGTTCTATTGTAAGCTCATTCTTACCATCAGCCTCAAACTTGAGATCTTATCTTGTTAATGAGTGAAAAGCGCCCATATTGGAAAGATTCGAAATCCCAAAAATCACACGAGTCACCAACGGCACTCTATACGACAAAAGGCCGCCGTCTATCCTTCGCCAACGTATTGGAAAGGAAGCGGACGACGAATGGCACCGGATCGGTGATCATGTATGGCCGATGGTCATTGGGGCGGAAGACGTCCGGCGCTTGGGGAAAGACCCGGGCGTTGCGGTAAAGATCCCAGATGACCTCGGCTACGGCTCGGACGCCTACATTGCCCAGACAGAGGTTTTCCATCATCTGCACTGTCTCGATATGCTGAGGAGGGAGGTCTCTTACGAGCACTACTATGAGGAAAAGGAAGGGCCGAAGCCAGGAGGAGCGCAGCATCAAGCGCACATTGGCCACTGCTTCGACATACTTGCCCAGGCAATCAAGTGCACGGGTAGTGTCGACATGATCACGTTCAACTGGGTGGAAAACTGGGACCAGCCATTTCCAGATTTCATGAACCGCAAAGTCTGCCGGAACTTCGATGCCTTGTTGGACTGGGTGAATGATAACGCGATGGACCCGCAAGTATTTCAGAGGATGAAGACGCCTCCTTCGGGATGGCCGGTGCTACCGGAACCAGGTCCAGCCGGTGAATGAGAACAGACGGACTTTGATAGGAGCTCGTATCTTCCGAAGCCACGTAGAAACTGTGGTAGTTGTACAGACAAACGTGGTGGTGACATCATACGTCGATCAAGGGCCCTTGTGTCCTTGTGCATCGTGATATGGATTTCCACACGAAACTCTTCATGCAAACAACACATGGTATCACGTATGCAGTTACACAGTTCCTTGCATTCGTGCCGTGGTCCAGTGGACGAAGCAAATCAAGCATCTAGACTCGAACCCTCCAGCCCTATGCACCGTGGCCTGATGTGAGGAGGGAAAGTGTGACGTTTTATGACAGAAGGTACGGCAGCATTAGGTGGACTAGATATGACTCTACGTATCTATAGCTATTGTTGGCGAGGATTTCTTCCTTTGGCTGAAGCCGACAAGCTCGTGGGGCAGGATTTCACCCCCTTCGAAGCTTGAGGGTGCAGCCATGTGTAAGTGCTACCACGGACCCAGCTTTCCAGATCATGTGGCCTTCTCAAAAGACTGTTGTAGGCGGCTTGCAGACTATGTCGGACGGATTGTAACTTGAGATCGGGCATCCCGCCCGTCGCACACAATACGAGAGGCGAACCTACAGAGAAGCCTCCGAGCACGCTCTCGTTCATAAAGGCACCTTATGAATCGTTCGGACTAAAGTTTACATCCAACATTTCGATTATCCACTTGAGTTTGAAGCAGTTTGACTGTTGAAATCATAGTCCCACAACCTATTCAAACTATTTGACTTCATGCAAGTGTTGTACAGAGGCTCTGGTTTGGTCTACTAGCTAATCATTCGCAGTGAGACGCAACCAAGACAAACCCCATTGCTTCAACATCATGAGGTCCTCCTTGCTGATCTCAGTCACCTCGCTCGCGCATACATCGTTGGCTGTTTACTGCGAAGCATCGGCGTACCTTGGCACAGGTCAAGTTGGCAGATGCACTGGTCAACATTTAAGTAGGGCGAACCAGACACGACCTGGAACGAGCCGCTGTTTTCCAGCAATGAATGGGGCTTGTGGAATCGTTGCAGACCAGGAGGGGGGCTGCAATTGCACGATCAACTTCTTCTCTGGCGGCGACTGCAATAGGACTTCAGTTGGGCAGTTGTCTTGTCACAACATCGGTGCCGTGAAACAGATCAACTTTGATCACTTTAACATTCGTTGCTAGTTGCTGCCAGCCTATATATCAGACTGAGATTTGGAGAGGTTCCCCTGGTGAACAGTTGAATAGCTCACTATGAAGCTTTAAAGACTGTCAGTTTGAATAGCGTGATTCGGGCGCAAAAGTCGGGAGATCTTAGAAAAGATTTCCTGCTTAATCAATAGCCCTGGTCTTATATGTAATGTTACCTATCAGGTCCTACAATGAAAGTTCAGAAATTGGATTGAAACCTGCACCTACTACTAGCGATGCGCTTAACTTCTGCGTCACCAAGTCACCGCTGACCCGTCTCATAGCCCCCGCCACGCTGTAATAATGTGATGCTAGCATATCTTCTCTTGCATCGATGAGGTGGAGGGCTTTCACCGCTTGCTACCCCACTGAGTACACCTGCTGGTGCCACTTTAGTACACTCTGTATTCCTACCCATTGGTCGAAATCAATTGTTTACCCGATGCGAAAGCTGATATTTGACGCAATATGCAGGGGTGGGAAAGAAAACATTCACGCTCCTATGAAGTTTTCCCACCGCATACTGAAGAGAGCCTCTTTGGTAAGAAACGACACAGCATCGACACAAAATACCGAGAAATTGCCGGCAAGCTTTACAGTCAGATTGAGAGAATATGCCGCCTCGTAAGGACTATCCTGACTGGTTTTTCCGCTGGCTCGATTGGAATGCAGACCAAGGGACAAACACTTCCTACGATTTCCCCGACCTCTTCGACGACGACCTCTCGGAGCTTTCTCCGTCCGACTGGGATTGCGGCTGTGACAGCGACGATTCCGACTGCGAAATCCAATGCTTGCCCCCACCTGTCCACCCGGCGCCTACATCTCGCAGTGGCCAGTACTCAATGGCGAATAACTACAAGTTTGCGAATAAAGTGCGAGAGCGCTACAAACGAGAGGTGCGCTTCGAGAAGAAATTTGCCGAGAGGACCCAGAAACGCGAGACAGTATACGAACGGAAATACTATGAGATCCGCCTGAAGAAACTTTCCAAGATGGAGGCCGCCATCGCGAACATCCGCAAGAATTCATCGGTCCAACCCCACAAGATGCCATCCGTCCAAGACCTCAGGGAAAAGGAGTATAACCTCATCTCCATCACCCCACATGCGAAAGAACATCTGGCTATGACCATGTTCGGCAGTACGCTCAGCCTGGAGAAATGTCACATCAGGGGGTATACACGGACACATCTGGATGCTCATTTGACGCTTGGCAACAGAGTGATGTCTGGTACGGGTGACCAGCCCTTCCTCGGCCCCAGTGAAGATGGGAAGATGGCAGTTCCAATGAAGTCGTACCACGACCTGAGGGTCACGTTTCACAGCATAGACTATATCGAGGTCGAGATTCCGATGAGCATCATCCGCAGATATCAATGGATCTTACCCGAGAGGGAAGGGGGCCACCGTAAATTCCTGGGAGACAGGGGAAGGCCTGAATTTGTTGATGGCGGATCCGGTGTGCCTGAGTACCTGACCTTTTACGGGGTTAGAAACACTCAGAAACGGGATGCAGAGAACGAAAGGGAGAAGGACCGGCTGGAAAGATTACCTCCGCCACCACCGCCACCATCGCCTTGATCTATCTGGCGCGATCGGCGACACCAACTCATGGGCGACTTTTAAAAGCTGGTATAGGGAGTGGAGCAAATTAGGGTTTGCAAGTACTTCGAGCTTTCAAAATTGCAAGAACACGGTTTGCCATGTAAGCTGCAATCTTGTTTAGCAGTATGTGGGAATAGCATTCTGTTGAAAAGTTTCGAATATTGGCCAGAGCCTCGACCTAGGCTAGTGGTTGTTGAACTGATGGCGAAAACTGCAGTCAAACTTCGTGCGGCCTCTAAGTGGTCCAGATAAATAAAGTGTTCCGCAATTAAAAATCCTACATGTGAGAACCAGCGATAACTTTCAGATTTTGGCTTTATGCCTGATTAGATCGACGATAAATAAACGTGCGCAGACTAACAAAAACGTCGTAACGTTTCTCTTTCCACATAGCCCAATGTACTGTTTCCTTGAGCCCATGTATCGGCTTCCGTTCGGTGGAGGAGCCTGAAGCGTCTCGTCACCCAGATAAGGTTGAACCGAGATCTGGGGCAGAATAATGCATACTTAATGATCACTGCGGAATATTGAGCTCATCCCTCAATCTAATTCCGCTCTAGTGAGTCCAGAGATTTGCCGGTATGACTACAAAGATCATGGGGTAAGCCTGCAAGGTCGTCAAAGAATACGACCGCTCCAATGTCCGGATCCGGGGATTATTGCCACGAGGTTAGTAATCATACGTTTAGCCCAATAGCCGAGTCATTACCGTCGCCCATGCTGCAAATCTAGACCAAGACGATGCATCTCGATGTCCTCCGGCAAAACACACGGCGGCTGAATCATATTACACATGCTGTGCTCCCACGCATGACACTGCTCAGAACGATTGGCCTAGAATAATCTATCAACAGTTCAACCGCATGTTGAACAATATCTCTAGAGGTAGTTTTCAAGATGTAAGACCACCAAAATACGACAAGGTACCTTTAGAGCTCCAACTCTGTTCCTTATGTCGTAGCAGACGTGCTACTACACTATCATCAGCAATTTGCCTGCAGCTTTTTACCATCTCGGCCAAAATCCCGGAACCCGGTCTTTTCCATGGAAACTCCCGTCTCGATGTGTCCGGAAAACGTACTAGGGTCCCCCAAGGCTTCGCCTGTGTATTATGAGTGCGTCGGTACAGCGTTGTGTGAATGCTAATACCCACGTTTTTGCGTGGTCCAGGTCAGAAGGGGCGGCAAATTCCATCGCAAGCGCTTCAAGAAGTCTGGGCCTCCTGGTGCCGAATGCAAAGGGTGAATAACGTGGGAAAACGTTGTGCTGACAGTGCCCAGAACTTGCCTGCCTTGGCACTCCATTGAAGAATCGGAGGGATGACGGCCAGCTTTTGACTCTTGGCGAGATTCTGCAAGTCATTGACGTTACACGAAACCGGTCTACCTTGCTGCTCCAACCGTTCCAAAGAATGGTCAACGAGGCATTGCCGAGGGTACGGTACCGCTCGGATAATCCGCCAAGAGACCTCTCACGTTTTCGTGCGAGGCAGTGATTGGAATCAGCCGTGTTCGTTGAAAATAGCCGGTGGGCACTTCGAGACACTGCCAGCAGTTGCTACTGTTTCGTCGAAGATTGGCGTGTCTCTGCCGAGATTGCTTCCAATTCCGGTGGAATGGCAGAGTCGGATGTATGGTGTTGCTCCGGCGTTGAAACAACATGATACCTTGGACGATTGTCAGGGTCCAAAATGCTCGAGTCTGGTAAACAAGACGTTTTTTTGTTTTGGAGATACGCCGTGTCTGTGAAGTGATTCGGACCCTGGCGAGGTCGAAGTGCTCCGCATTTCGCGATTTACGTATTTGCCCGATCCCATTATGATCGATATTCATCTAGGGCGTGCCTGGTGTCCCAGCATCTTGGTTCTCAACGGGAGTTCGACTCCTATTTCGACGCCGTCTTCGCCAAGGTGCACCGCCGTCCTCGCGAAGTTCGTAAAGCAAAGGAAAACTCCCGAGCATCACGATTGCGAATGGCTGAGTTACCAAGGATAAGTGAAACCATGTCTTAAAACGAAAAATGCTCCCGACCCCAACGCATTCCTTTCAGGAACACTTAAGACCATCTCTCCACGCTTAGATCAAATATGTACGCCACCAAAGCCCACATCGAAGCTAGCCCCGCGACTAAGCCCTGGCTGTGTCCCCGGCGCCTCAAGCGGCCTTGAAGGCGGCTTGCGGTAAAAGAGGCACGCTGTATTCCGGTGACGCATTCAGTTAAAACATCTTGTCCGGCACTCCCATACGGTGTCGAGCCAGTCCTCTAACTCGGAGGTCCTGCCCAGATTGTATGGACACTGCCGACTGTCGAAAGAGGCCCGTAACTCAAAAGCAGAACTCCCGACCAATCCCTGTCCCGCATTTGGATTTCACCAGCTGGAGGCAAGACTTCCAGCCAATTCAAGGGCGAAAACATGTTTCGGCGGGTCGGAGCGAGGTTCGCCGAGAGGGCTCATCGCCGAACACACCCTCTCTGATGAACATGCTGGTGTCGTGACCGCTGTCATCTGAGACCCGTCCCTGTTGCCCAAAGGATCTTCCAGGGTCTCGGTCGCGTAACCAGTCTCCTGGTGCTCGCGGATAACGTGGACTTGCGACCTTTCCTCTGTAGTCAAGAAATCCCACATGCACGTCCGGACTGCCCAGCTGGCATCGCTCACACTAGGGTTGTCATGAACGTTAGCTTGAACTTGAATGACTTTGACAGCCCCAGTGGTCTGGGCCGGGTCTTCCGCACCCGGTCAGCCACCTCGCCATCGCTCCCGTGGCTTACACGACGTCGCCCCGTACGCCACGGCTGATCCGGACCTTGTCTGCTATCCACATATGTGGTGTACATACCCCGTCCCGCCCTTGTCTGCAATGTGCCCTCCTCTTCTCTCTTCTTGCCCCGCGATCTCACAGCAAATTTGGTGTTAGCCAGAGCACCTTCGAGCCATAACACCCTGCCCTATCGTCATGCTTTGATCGACATCACCGAACGACACGCCTCTACTATCGCTGCAATGAAGGCCTCGCTCTGGGCCCTGCCCGTTCTCGCTTGCCTACCACTCGTGTATGGCCTTTACGATAACGTTCCCGACTGCGCTGTAGGTCTTTTTCTCTGTGGTTCATTATCGAAGATAGTGTTTGTAGGGGTTTGCTGCTAACATCACGTCACAGCTACCCTGCGTATTCGAACCCCTCGATTATACACCATGCGAATTCACGAATTCGACATGTCTCTGCGGAGACATGAACTACAATATGGCTGTCATCCACTGTGTTAGGATTCAATGCAGTGTACAGCAGGCGCTCAGTAGGCTACCGTTCAGAATCTGAGTTAAGAAAGGAAGAAGTTAAGAACTAACGGGGGAATCAGTCACGAAAAACCAGACCTGGTCAGATTGCAACTTCACATATCACGACGAAGGAGGCACTATCTCATGGGTTCCGCCTTTCCTGTTCGGAACCGTTACAATATTCTTTGCAATGAGACTGTTGACGAAGTGGTTGCGGATGGGCACCTGGGGATGGGATGACTGGACAATATCATTCGCATATGTAAGTCATGACAGCTGATTCTAGGGACGATTGGCTTGGCTGACGGCTTTTTTTGCAGGTTATGATGGTTGCGTTCTTGGTTGCAACGACTCTCGCGAAGCAAGCGGGAATTGGTCGAGATATTTGGACCCTGACCGTGGATCAAATTACAGCATTCATTCGGGTAAGGTTGCTCATATTTTCATATTGGTCATCAGTAGTATTGACGAGAACACAGGGCTTCTTCGCATTTGAGATTGTCTACTCGGTTACCCTCGCCTCGATCAAAGCATCGATCCTGTTTCTTTATCTTCGCATTTTCGGATCGATCACCGAAACGTTCCGTCAGATCTTGTGGGGCACTCAGATTTTCAACGTCGCGGTCTGCATCACCTTCGTCATTGTCAATCTGAACCAATGCAAGCCTCTGAGCTACTTCTGGTACGGGTGGGACGGCAGACATCCCGGATACTGCATCGACCTGTCAGCCATGGCGCTATCGCATGCCGCTCTGAATATCGCCATTGATGTGTGGATGCTCGTGCTTCCAGCGACTCAAATCTACAGACTCAACCTTCAAAAGAGGCAGAAGGCAGGAATCATGTCGATGTTCGGTGTTGGAATCTTCATCACGATCGTCAGCGCTGTTCGGCTGAAGAGTTTCGCCACCTTCAGCCACTCCTGGAACCCAACGTGTATGTTGCATTTGTTTTCACTGCTTTCTTCTCTTACTGACCAGAGTTCCAGATGACTTCTACGGTCTTGCGATGTGGTCTCACACTGAGCTTTGCGTCGGCCTGATCGTGGCATGCATGCCCGCTGCTCGATCCCTTGCCCGACGCCTGTTCCCTGAACTTCTTTACGTCACCAAAGTCAGCACCGCCCGGCAGTCCACGAGAGCATCCGGGAACGTCAAGATTGTTTCTCAAGACATCGGGACCATCGCGACAGACGATGTACCCGAGAGTTCGACTATGTCTTCCCCTTCAAACGCATCGAAGAAAGACTCGCTGGCTACCTTGACGCCAGATAGAGTACCGCTTAAACGCCTGACCACCAGCGACAGCTTGATGGACATCTCGCCCAGTGAGCGAGGTACGTCGTTTTACAGCGATTCACAGAAAGGAGGCGGCAAACTGAGTGATCCCTGGGATTAATGCAAAGCGGGAATATGAGCGGTGTGCAAAAGTGACTGACATAAATACCCCCTTTGTAACGCAAGATTGATTAGATTACCATTAGCGTGCCTGTTCGAAGCAACTGTTGTTCTCAATCTCTGTAATAATATCCACTATGTTTAATCAATACCTCGGTTTCTTAGATACCTAAGATCTCTGCTGCGCGAGACACTGCCGATGCACTCTTCTCAACCCATTCACGTGCCTGCTCTTCGTTGTCGGAACTGAGACTGTCTTGAACAGCAGGGAAAACGTCGGCACCGTAGCCGTTGTCCAGGCCCGGCGCGCTGACCACGTTGTGGAATGTCGGGCGCCCGGGGAGCCCTCCTGCGCTTGCGAACCCGCGGGAGAAGTCGCGGTATTTGCTGTTGACCACGTCGATAAGGACGGTGTCGTTGAAGGCCAGTGCTTGTTTGGCGACCGTAGCGATCCGCTCCGCTGCTGTCTCAAACTCTACGATCGCATCGTCGATAGGAGACAGGTCCAGGTCTAGGTCGGGGTAGGTCTCAGCGATGGTGTCATTGAGGTCTTCGTAGTAAGTGCGGAGGACTCTCCCTGCGTTTGGGAGGTCCCAAGGGATGATCACATCGTCGGCAATATGATAGGCAATGAGAGTGAGCCACTGTCCCATGACCCGGTGAATTTTAAAGCCGGGATCTCCAAACTTGGCCATCCAGGCATAGGAATCATAGTGCCTGAGTGTGTTAGCTGCGAGAGAGCAGAGAGAGAAGTCCATAATTGTTACATACCCGTGGTAGTGATACACTGGGTCAGTCTTGCCGCCATCTGAGCCAATGTCGATCTAAATCTCTGTTAGCGACTGTTCTAGTCGTCACATGGCAACGAAACTTACTGCGCTGATGCCGTTGTGGTAGAAAGCTGCGTAGTCACTGCCGCTACCGAGAGGAGGAATCTCGCCCTCGGTAGTGTTGAACCACATGTCATACAATGTCGGGCCAACATCCCAATCTTCAGGGAAGAGAACCTTCTTCATCATATCGATTGCCAAGGTTTGAATCTCCCCAGATCCAGACAGAGCTGTTCGTGGCCCAGATACCGCAACGTCCAGGTTCAGGTAAGCCACAGCGTTGGTGACGAGCCAGGGCAAGTGAGTCTCAACCCATTCAGTTGACCCCTGAAGACCAAACTCCTCGGCGTCCCAAGATCCAAGGATTCTTCAGGAAACACTCGTCAGTACATTACGCGGCCTGAATCGGATTTTGAGACCACTTACATCGTCCGTCGAGGCTTCCACCCGTTGTCAACGAGTTTCCCAAAAGCCTTCGCCAGCTCGATCAGAACAGCCGATCCCGAGTTCGGGTCAGCCGCGCCTCCGATGACCCATGCATCACGATGATTGCCGATGATCAGAACCTCGTCTTCTTTGGTCCCGTTAATAACACCAATTACATCCCAGGTGGGTGCAACTGTCTGATTCATGAAGTGAACCATGTCCAACGTCGCGCCAGTCGTCGGCCCACTGCTGTAAGTGATGTCTGGCAAAGCACCAACCCAGCTGCTGCGGTTGACCTGTTCGGCAGACAGACCATTTCCATCGAGAGCTGCAAGAAGGGGCGCGGCATCCTTCATGCTGATGGGGACGGATGGAATGGATGGGTTGTACGGAGTGACATCATTTCGTGGACCGTCTTTCTCTGAGGCGTAGCCGACAGTCGAAGGATCACCCGAATAAAGCGACGAGAATCGAACGCTGCCTCTTTGTATCATTGACGGGTTGCGGGCAGGCCCATCTTGGCGTGGTAGTTAGCTCTGATCATGAGCTCCTATCGAGAAAACTGACTTACCCGGGTAGGCCGCGTAACCATTTGCGACAGTGATCTCGCCGTCGTCGAGGGGGTCCGTGAACAAAACAGCGCCAATCATGCCATTATCTTGTGCATTCTTGACTTTGGTGCCTCTGTAAATTGCGCCATACATGGAAAGGGCAATCTTCCCCTCCAGCTCGATACCCTGATCCTTGAGAGCTTCGAAGTCGGCCCGTTGGCCGCGACTGGAAATCTGGTTAGTGGTATTCTGTGAAAAACTGGTAGAACCACGTAGGAACCCACCCAACGTAGACATATTCCGCGCTGATGTTGCCACTGCCACTCATTGCATGGTAAGCTGGAATACGGTTGGGATAACTCGTGGTTGAGTCTTCTTCAAGCATGTCCTCGATCAAGCTAACCTCATGAACACTGCCGTCTGGTCTATTCAACTTCAATGTTGTTTCGAGAGGCGCTGTGTACCAGATCCAATACTCCTCGATGTGGGCATCCCATCCAGCATTCGTCCACTGCTCCTGCGTCCACTCAGCCATCGTGCGGTTGTGACCTCCGAGATGGTCTCCATGAGTGTAGTAGTACGACCAGTCATCCAGAGCTTTACTGTCGAAGGAGTTCACCAGGATACTTTCATGTTCAGTCAAAGATGGCGGGTACTCGACTGCCAGATCCCGCTTCTTGTGTCCATGGTCGTGGTGCTTATGATCGTTGATGCGCTTGTGCAGGGCTGCCCAGTCACGCTGGCAAGCATAAACACCAGTCAACACGGCACCGGCTGCCAAGAAAGTTCTTCGCATAATGAAGAGGCTATGGTTTCACTTAATTGAAGAAACGGGTGGTTCCAAAATCTCGGAACTTCAAGAAGTGTGCTACCCCCCCGGAGATTTTATGTGTCAATTGCTTACTAGCCTCGATTGCAACCATGAACCCCTCATCTTGGCCTTCAACGAATCTTTTCCAGGGTCAAAATCCGGGCAGAACTCAACCGAAGGTCGTTGAGTGTTAGGAAATGGGCTTTCCGGGCGGGAGTCAAAAGATGACAGCTTTTCCGGCTTATCACGCTTGCGTGACGTGCTTTCAGCTTCCTATCTTGTATAGCGTTCATGTAATGTAACGAGAAATAGCGGAGAATCGTCCCAGTCTCTGTTGTACTAACCGCAGATGATATTGTCGAAGGATTGGTCGTAAGTGAGGGGTATTCCGGTCGTAGTCATTCCAGCGTGGGGTAAAGCTTGGCGTACGTCTTCACGCACCAAAGCGACATTCGTCCGTCATCAAGACAGGATATGTTACCAGATATTCACAAAGATTCAGACCCAGAAGAACACATGATGATTGTGCCGTTATCGGAGTCGCCGATCTGCGGACCATCGGCTTTTAAACTGACTCCGAGATCGCAGACGTCCAGACAATGTCATAGATCACAACGGAAACACCCGGCCTGAGAAAGACCCAGAGATGCTGGAGCGTTAACTGGGTTTTTCAATTTTTAGAAACTCTGACATGTCTATATCAGACCCAACCAACAGGTTGTACTTTGGCCGCTTCATATTACCTATGTCAAGTTAGTATCCGAGTGAGGCAGTAAGCCTACATAGAGACGATTACGAGTGTCTTCTCTACTCAAAGTTGCGAACCAGACATCTTCACCCACGCACGAAAAGGCTATCGCAGGAACAGACTCAACCTTGGTATTAGAAACGTGTGACTTTCAGCAAGGTACGTGGGGATGACTTGTTATAATGATTTTAGAGGTTCATTATTTTCCTGTTTCATTGCGAGACATCATGTCGATATGATGGAACCTTCTCACTTGGTAAAGTCTTTTCACTTTGGACACTGGAATCAAATAACAATTTGTTGGGCATTGTCAACGAGTGATTCCTTCACAAATTTGACTTCAAATGCCTTCAAACGTCAAACAACTCGGACCAGACTCGAGCCCCAAGACGAAGGTTCGGCGGAGCAGCGGCACTTGGGCGGGATTTCCCCGGTGCACAAGCCCGTCAGAGCTATGAAGTTGTGCAAGTCACAGTACAAGCATCATAGCACAAGATGTGCACGGCACAAAGTCTCGGATACGAAAGTCCCCCCGCCAACCCGCAGCTCCAACGCTGCACTGCACAGCACAGCACAAACAGGCAGCTGCTTCTCCGCATCAAAGCGTCATCGCCTCCGCAGAGTCACAGTCTTGGGCCCTCTCCCCCAGCTTTCCGAGCTCAAGCTCCCCCAAAGCAAAGCTCCAAGCTCCGAGCTCCGTCAGCTGCATCGGCCCACTCCCACTTCTCCCTTCCTCCATCCACCCGCATGCGAGCCAGCCCACTGAACCAATCTCCCTCCTCCATCATATCTCGATGCTCAGCTGGCTGGGTTCGTCCATCGTCTTATCGCTCTACTAGCTTATCTACAATCGAACAAAGGCCCCGTCTTCCGATAGCGCCATCATGTCGGAGAAGGCGCCTCTCGTCTCCCACGAGCCCGTGAGGCCGAAGCAGCGCTGCCCGTATGCCGGGCGCTGCTCAGCCGGCAAACGCGCCGTGAAGGTCCTCGTTCTCGGCGCCGTTGCCGGTCTTCTTTACTATGGCGTTCCGCATGGTGGGTATTTTCCACGGCGTTGTTTGACATGGCGTGCTGACAGAATCTCCGTAGCCCAGCAGCACTTCGCCGCCGACAAGGCGGACAAGATGTGCATGACACCCGCCTGTGTTCACGCAGCGTCCGAGATCTTATACAACCTGTCTCCCGACTACAAGGAGCTCGACCCGTGCAACGACTTTGAGGAGCTTGTTTGCGGCGGATGGCGCGACCGCCACGACCTCCGCTCCGATCAGGGCGATGCCTTCACCGGCACCATCATGTCGGAGAACTCGGAGCTTCTCCTCCGCCACATCCTTGAGGCGCCGTACCCCAAGGACTCCAAGGTAAGGGAGAAAACAAGTTCAAGCAGGGCGGCGATGTTAACAATGCGAATAGCACTCCTCGTTCTCTCCGATGCGATTGTTTTCCAGCGACAAGGATGCCGATGAGGAGAACTTCGACAAGATGAAGGCCGTCTACGACGCCTGCATCAACGAGGACAAGATTAAGGAAGTTGGCTTGGAGCCTCTCACCCAGATCCTGGACCAGATCAAGCAGGCCTACCCTCTCGCGAGCGCCAAGGACGACGAACCCAAACCGACGAAGGACGCCATCCTGCTCCTCGCCAAGTACGGTGTCGATGCGTTCATTGCAAGTGGCACTGGTGCTGATGACAGAGACCCTGACACGGTTGTGGTTTCCATCGCGGCGCCAGGCAGCCTTGGTCTCCCGTCCAAGGAGCGCTACGAGGACGAGAAGCTTGTCGAGAAGTACCGCAGCGTTGCCGTCGAGGTTCTCGGAAACCTGTACCCCGACAACAACAAGGACAACTTCGCCAAAGTCATTGACCTTGAGAAGTTGCTGGCTGCTGCCTCGCCAAGCACCGAAGAGAGGGAAGATGTCACAGTGAGTACTCCACGGCTCATAGGACGAACATGCTGGCTAACATGAATAGAAATACTACAACCCCATGCTGATTGACGAGGCTGCTGCCCTCACTCCCGAGATTGAACTCACGGCTCTCATCGCTGGCCTGGCTCCCGAAGGTTTCGTTGTTGAGCGTGTCATTGTGATGGCACCCAAATACATGACCGAGCTCGCCACCATTCTCGCTGAGACCGACAAGGAGGTTATCCAGAACTACTTTGTCTGGAAGGCTGTCCAGTCCCTCTCCCGCTACGTGGACGCTGACGCCGTCAAGCCTTACCGCCGCTTCGTCAATGAGCTTGCCGGAAAGGACCCCGAGTCTGCACCTGAGAGATGGCGCACCTGCGTTGGCCAGGTCGATGATGGCGTTGGCTGGATTCTCAGCCGCTTCTTCGTCGAGAAGGCATTCTCCGAGAAGGCCAAGAAGTTTGGTGACACCATCATCACCGACATCAAGACCGAGTTCGCCAAGAAGCTCAAGGCTACCAAGTGGATGGACAAGGAGACCACCAAGAAGGCTATCAACAAGGTCCATAACATCATCCAGAAGATTGGCTACCCAACCAAGAGCCCCGATATCATGGACCCTCCCAGCCTGAACAAGTTCTACGAATCAGTCAACGTCAACCCGGACACTTTCTTCCAGAACGCTCTGGAGGTTCGCAGCTTTGCCGTTAGCGACGAGTGGTCTGCCCTCGGCAAGCCCGTCGACAGGGAGTCATGGGGCATGACAGTTCCGACCGTCAATGCCTACTACAACCCTCCGGGTAACGAGATTGTATTCCCCGCTGGCATCATGCAGTTCCCCGTCTTCGACGTCGAGGTCCCCGCCTATATGTCCTACGGCGCCTTTGGCTCTGTCGCTGGTCACGAGCTTTCTCATGCCTTCGACTCCACTGGTCGTCACTACGACCAGAATGGCAACTACACTGACTGGTGGACCGACGACACTGTCAAGGCTTTCCAGGAGCGTGCCGAGTGCTTCATCGAGCAGTACTCCAACTTCACCGTCCCGGGCCCCGACGACGAGCCCCTCCACGTCAACGGACGTCTCACCCTTGGTGAGAACATTGCCGACGCCGGCGGCCTCTCCGCCTCTTTCCAGGCCTGGAAGCGCCGTGCTCACGAGAAGCCCAATAAGAACCTCCCTGGTCTCGAGCACTTCACTCAAGACCAGCTGTTCTTTGTCACCTACTCCAACTGGTGGTGCGGAAAGTCTCGCAAGGACACCGCCATCAACCGCATTTACACCGACCCTCACGCGCCCAAGTGGGCCCGTATTCTTGGCACTATGGCCAACAGTCGCGAGTTCAGGGACAGCTTCCAGTGCAAGAGCAAGAAGCCCACTTGTGAATTATGGTAATATGTCCAGGAGGGCCGCTGTGTATGAACGGTGTGAGGTTTATTAGTTAGGCTGTATAGTAGGTATATCACAGAATGGGAATCGTTGCTTGGGCCCCTTTATCTTCACTTTGTGATACTGTGATGTGGATAAGTGATGCCGGGTAAGGCACAAGTGTCAGGGTACGGAGAGATATTCGGCCTTCGGAACGCACCGGACCGTGACGCAGGCCGAGAGCCCAGAGAGGCTTGATTGCGCAACGTGAACGCCGTCCCCTGAGTGCCGAGCTGTAGAGATCGTCGGTACTATTGCTTATTCTCCAGTCTCAACGGCTTGCTCACGACCTCATCGGCCCCCCGGACTAGGGGCTCAGGTATCAGAGGCGTTCTATCACACTCCTCTTACAGATGGATCTAAAGAAAGAGGCGTTGGTGTATCAGCCAGTGCGGATGCTACTGGCAGGCGGCTAGGCCGTCGAATGCCAAGAAGTTCAACAAAGGGGACGAAAAATGTGAGGCGTACAATCAGAGCCACAACGAGATCGAGAGCCTAAAAAAGATGGGCAAAGTGATTCAGGGGTAGGTTTAATACTGTATTGCACAGAAGCTTCATCGGTACCAGACTTTACCCTCGAGAACAATATATTCGGAGCTGAATGATTAAATGGATCGCCAAGTCCATCTCCTAAGGCGTGTACATTTCACTCTAACCGCGACCAAATCAGAGAAGCTTATACAGAAGTCCACCTGGATAGTTGATGGCGAAGTAAACTATAATCTGTAGATGTATTCCAATGGACCCGAGAAATTTTCGTGATGTTCACAGCCAGGCCAAAAAAGACACACCGGTGTCCTCCAACCACCGTGCTATCTAGATATCTTGAAATAGCTGCGACTTACAAAGTCACAACTGGACATCGAAATTACGAGATATCATTGGATACCACCAAAA